AACGCGTGCCTCTGTTTCCCGGGTGGGGAGGGAGGATGGGAGAGAGGTGCTGAAAATCACCCCGCAAAGGAGTCGAGGAGGACAGGGATGGAATGCCATCCCCTGTTGGGAGAGATGATGTGGAGATCCAGGGCAGTCCCCAGGCCCCAGGAGGGAGCTCGGCCCTGCGGTGGGGGGAAAGGCTCAGGAACTTGTGGCAGTCCCTTACCCACACCAGCATCCTGGTGTGTGGATGCGATTCCCTCCTGGATGGTCACCCTGTGCCCCGTAATGGGGGAGAAACCTGGGAGTACTTTAACATCTTTGCGTTCATGGCTTGTCTGTCATTTTCTTCAGTGCACAGATTTCCTGTTTTGAAAACTGGGCTGATAGCTTTGTTGGGGTTTTAAAGCCAATAGTAGAAATAGGGTTCTCCAATAATCACATTTGGTATCCCATTAGTTTTTGAGGCTTGTTACTGATTTCAGAGAGCAGTTGTAAATGCCCCCGGATGGATTCACTTTGCCCCCGTAACTGAGATCTGCAGTGTTTGGAGGAAATGGCAGGGACAAAATGGACAGTTAATAAAAGGAACAATTGTATACTGCCTATTCTAGAGGGCACTTGCTGCCCTTCAAGAACTTTCCTCATAGCATATGCTCTTTATACAGCAAATCTTTATCTTCTGTGTCTCTTTTTTTTTTTTTCTACCTTAGTCCAGAAAATGAAACTGGAACAGACATTTCTGGAAATGAACTTGATTGGTGCGGTTGGGAAGATGTGATTCACAGTTATAATGAACATAGAAATTTGTCCCATTTTTTCACAGTTCAGTATTCAAATTGTATATTTCCCGATTTTTAACCTGTGTACACAAGTATGCTGGTTTCTTTTTTTTTTTTTTAACCCTTCAAATACTGGCATCCATTGTGTTGGATTGCCAGGAGGTACCTCAGGTACATCCACTATATAGAAGCAGCTGTTACGCTAGAGGTATTTGCAGCTTTACTCTATAGAGTAAAAGGTTTAAATGAGCATTATTTCTTCTTACAATCCTTTTCTGTGTTTGGAAGAACCAGAGCAGTGAAATCTTGAGTTTGGGGAGATGTAGTATTTCCAGGATTGGCCAAAAATAAATTATGGGGTAAAGAATGTTGCTTTTTTTCCCCTCCTAGTCACGCAGCACAGCTGAAAAGCTCTGAAGCATTTAGTCATAACACTCTGGTCCCATGTTTTCCTTTTAATAAAGCATCCAGTGGGAGAATGTGACATAATTGGTTTCTTGGATTTAGAGATCTTGAAATGGCTGGTACAACAGATAGAAGAGGAAGCTCTCCAGCGGGCTTGTGGTTTAAATACAGTAATATGGTGGCAAAGTCATGTTGTTATTGCATGGTAATCTTGTATTTCTCTTGCAAGAAAATGCTTTCTGCATGGTTATGCTGCAGAACAGGCGCTTTTGAGTCCTGTCAGTGGCACGGAATATTAAAATCTCTCTCCTTTCCTTTCATTGCATAATCTGAGTGTTGTTCTTCCATAGCAGCAGAAATGATGGAAGAATTGCATAGCCTGGACCCACGAAGGCAGGAACTACTGGAGGCCAGGTTCACTGGAGTCGGGGTTGCTAAGGTGAGTGTAAGTACCTTTGGTAACAGGCATGACTGCTTATCCATCCTGCGCTGCACTTTGTTTTTTTAATTTCTACTTCAATAATTTTGCTTTGCTAGCAGTTTTGTATCGATAGTTGTGGTTTGAGTGCTAATTTGCTTGAAGTATGTTTAAGAGGAATGAAAATGGGATCTCTATCAGCAGATGTTTTGCTATACAGAAGATTTTGGGTGCTAATTAAGTTCTTAGGAGTTGCTCTATCTTAAGGGAGCTTGTACGCCCCCAAAAAATCCAAGACAGTTTTGTCTTTGGAAGTGGGAATCTCATCTGTCTCCTCCTTTCTCCAAGTCTGCATTTGAGAACTGATTTGGCCACTTGTTAGATACAGTTTCAAGTTTACTGTGTTTGATACAACATGTAACCAGACTTAATATATTCAGGAATTTGTTCAGTTCTTTATGGGTGCAGCGTGCTAAAATTGTGTACTTGGTCGCATAGAACACACTCCAAAAAGTATTTGAAGGTAAGCTCTCCTATATCTGTGATCCACAGCCTGCTAGTAAAATCCCATCTTTGTCCTCACGTATAACTTCATAACTGTGCAGTAGCTGCCTTTCTTGAATATGGCACTTAAATTATAATTGTGTGGTTGCTTGATATACTAGCATTAAGCTCTTAGTTCTCCACATGTTGCTGGTAGTGTTAATTGATAGTCTCTCTGAGCAATGAAATGGTGGCAGAACTCGTCTTAAACTAGGTCAGTGATAAGGAGTTTACTTTTGAGGAAGATACTGAGTTTTGGACAATATCAAGGTAGATGGTAAAACATATAATTGCTAGATAATTTTCAGAAACCTCTTAGAATTATTTAGGGAAGAAACTTTGTAGATGCTGTATTTCTTACAAAAAACTCAAAGCAAATCAGAACTTGAAAAAGAGTTTTGTTTGAGTTCATACTTTTTTTTCTGATCAGTACTTCAGTCAGGACTCAACAAGGTTAAGTCTTGGAAGGGAGTGTGAGTAAGTAAAATGTCCAGCTGTAAGGTAGCCTAGAAAGGAAGATTAACACTAGAAGTTGTTAAGGGCTAAGTTTTTTGATCTTTTTCCCTGTTCTTAAGACTTTTTTTTTTTTTAATCTTAAGGCTTTTACTAGCTTATGCTTACATAACGTATTTACGATCTTGAAAGACTTGTTTTGTAGAATATTACAACTTTTTATGTACTTTTTCATCTCTTTCTTGCCTCTTCCCCCACATATGTAATTTCAACATTTGTAGCTGTACCAGTATAGATAAAGCCGAACAACTTTATGGAATAGCTACAACTTAGAAGCATAGATGCTATCGTTGCTTTAAAACAGTGCCAACACACTCAATGCTCACAAAAAAAAATGTTAGGAACTATTCCTTATAAAGGAATAACCTTTAAAAGATACCAGAAAGAAAGTCTTAATTATGTTTTCAATATGTTTGGAGCAGAAAGTACATGCCCTTTCTCTGTAGGGTGAATATTGAAAACTCGTTTTTGTTTCTAAAGCATATCCAAGTAAAAAAAGCCTCATTTTTTGGAGGCTTAGCTTTGAGCAAAGCTCTTCTGTTACTGAGTTTTACTTTTACCTGTTGTTGTGCAGTATAGTGTTGTACTTTGTATTAGTCAGTAAACTGTTAAAGTGCGTTACACTTATTTCAAACAATATATATTTCTTTACTCGCATACTTGCTAATTTGCAATAGATCAGCCAACCATTGATATGAATTAGCATGACTCTACTATGTTGCAGCAAATCTTGGTTGCAATATTAATCTCAGATACTACATTCCCTCCCAGGTTGGTGCTTCAAATTCCCTCCCTACCCCCCCAAGTCTCCGTCCGTCATGCTCCGCACTGGCATTGGTAGGTCATTGTCTTAAAGGGAATATATTGGGAAAGCTGTGATACAATTTGTATGATTCAACTAAGAATTTTAGCTCTCTCCAATTAAATGTTTAAGGAAAGCTACGTAGAGTAAGTTAGTGCCATCTAGTGGGACCGGGACTGGCACATCCTCCTGGGATAGAAGGTATTCTATTGCTGTTTATTGCATAAAAGGAAGAAATGTCATCTAAGATGCTCTCCTATTGGGTGAAGGCAGCAAGCAGTTGTAACTGAGCTTCCTGCCTTCCACTGAACTGGGTGTATCACTTAGTGTGTTTGGTTAGGTTTCTTTAATGTTTAAAAATACAGGCTATGTTTTGGCCCCGTGCAAAACTAACTTACTAGTTTACATCCTCAGTACAACTGCAGCTTTAAAGCTCACTCTCCCTGCATGTTTGCAAGTAAAGAACAACTATAAGTGTTTCTGAGAGTGACTAAGACTATGCTATCTAGAATAAATTTTTAGGCTTGGAACTAGAAAAAACTTCTAGCCATCAGAGTCATGGGATTCTGGAACAGCTTTCTAGTAACCGTAGTAGAGGACAGAAATCCTAAAATGTTTTGGAAATAGCTGTGTGCTGTCACTTCCTGTGGTAACTGAAGGCACAACCCAATGACCGATGTCATTTGCAGTCCCTCAAAACTCTGTTGCAAGTCTGTGATGAATTATCTCAGTAGCTGGAGAATGTATTTCTCTAGAGGCTTGGCATTAATGCATGGAATCAAATCTATGAGCAAGGAATGTTTCTAAGCAACTGTTATACTTGTGTGGTTCATCCAGGTCACTAGATAGCTTCAAAAAGCCAGTGATGCTTTAGGTGTCCATCCTTGCCTGACAGTAAAGTGCCATTCTTCCCCAAATTCGCAAAGCAAGTCCTTGAATTAACACCTGACACCTCTCCGACATCTACCTGTATTTCTGCTTATTTAGCTCCCATTTATGTTTACTTACTAGGGGAAATGTAAGTGTAGTTACTTGAGGCATTATTCTAACTAGTCATCTCGCACACCTTCCTTGGGTCAGTAGGTGCAAAAAAACAAAATGTAGTTTGTTTCTCTAGATAACATTGTTTAATTTGGCCTGTTCTCACCTTCTGCCTCCCTTCCCCCTGTCTGGGTGCTGGCTTTAAGATATCAGTCGGGTTAACTCCAAAGGATTCGTGTCATTTCCACAGACTTTTACTGGATAAGAATTGGAGTAGGTAACTGTGGTGGTTGAATCTGTGTTTGCACATGAATTGCCTCAGGCTTGGCCAGGTGGATCATCACAGAACACATGTATCTTCTACAAGTTTGGTCTTTAAAAGATCTCCAAACTAAGTTGTGTGTGCCACTTTATTATTGCTAAACTAAAAAGGCTGAAGCATTTCTAGAGAGAGTAACCTTCCCTGTCCTGCTGTCGGAATCTTGTAGATCCAGATGACTGTGCTGGAGTTGAAGTAGTATTCGTCTTGGTGGTAGCTAGTGCTCTCTTTCCTCCCTCTTTGAGGTAAAGAGGGAAATTAAAATAACCTGAAAAGTGTCACTTACGCTGCAGAACATCTGCCACCAAAAAGAGAATTGCTCATAAATAAGAACAATATTTACTTATATTATTTTGGTCTTTACCCTTTCTCTGTCACTCTAGCAGTCTCGATCAGTTCAGTAACTACCAGTGGTGTGGTCTATTTAGCCACATTTTTAGCAGCAAAGTTACCAAGCTGAGTATTCGTGGTTGAGAATAATCATGTCTTCTCTGGAGGGAAGTGGTGCTGCTTAGTGATGGTCTTTAACGGGTGTCGCATGCCACCAGAAGAACTTGTTAAATTCAATTCTAAGTTTCAAAACTCTTATTATCAGCTACCACAGAATGTGCCAGGACTTTATGCCAGATACTTGAAAATTATTTGGATGCTTCCATGTGCAATATTACTTATTTCAAATGTATTGTCTGGCTATGAAAGCCCAGAAATAGTTGTCAGATCTCAGTTCTATTTCTGCCCCTGAACCAAGGGTTAGAGTGAATTGCATGACCCTTCTGTCCAGTTTGCTGTCAGTAAAATAAAACTACTATTTTTTCAACCTGAGAGAACTCTTGAGTTGTAATGGAAGCCAAGCAAATGCTGTTGCAATCTCCTTATCCATCTGATATATTGGAGGTTACCTGTGAAGATCTGATAGTAGATTAACTTCTTGTGGCAAAAAGACCTAGGTCATTTGGGGATTTCATTATTGGCTGTAATACCGAGATTTTCTAAAAGCCCAATTAATAAGCAGGCTGTAATTCTCATACTTATGTGATGCTTGAAATAAGGTACGAATATGTTAATTAAACCTGTCTTATACAGTAGCACTGGACCAGAGTAACTGGAAAACCAATCAGCCATTTCACTTTTTTGAGAGAATTTTGCAATGCATGTTGCTGTAAGTCCACATTGGTGACTCTGGCTAGGCAGCTTGAATTCCTAGAGCTGTCCTTCAGTGCGAGGAGTTGGAGAGCACAAAATGGAGACTGCCCTACATAAGAGTTGCGGATAGCCATGAGGGATCATTTCTGGGAGCTTGGAGAGGCTGAGGAAAAGCCCAAGTCATGCGAGGCAGTGGATAGACTTGAAGAGGAGATAGGTAAGGGTGGTCTGAGTCAGACTAGCTCTGTTATGGAAGATCCAATGGGAGCTATTATCAGGCTAACTTGTTTCTATTGAAACTTCAGCTATCATGCCTCATTTATGGCCTTTCCAGGGCTCTTGCAAAGGGAGAAATGACTAACCAGCTCTTGTGAGTGGACAGATTTTAAATTCTTGCCTTTGAGTAGGAGTCTTGAAAGCGCCTGCTACTGTTGCATCCACTTCTCAACATGGAGGTTTTGTTGTGCATAGGTAGGTCACAGACTTAGAAGCAGCAGTTGATAGGTGAATCACAAGGGAAAAGAGCATGCCAGCTTATCTCGGAAAGAAATTCCTTGCGGAGGAGGAAGTGTGTGCTGTTCTTGTGCTTGTCATTTGGGTAAACACTGTAGAAACTATTAGCTTATTTCAGATGAGCTACGTATTTTGAATTTTTGCTGAGCCCCATCACCGATTCTCTTGACAGGGTACAGTGGATGAGTGGGCTGTAAGTGATAGCAGAGAGGTGCAGTATTATCCCTAAGTAGTCTATGCTAGGAAAGCCAGAAGCCAGTGCAGATGACTTCTTCAGGAACAAAATTTATAAGCCTTTCCTGTGTAAACTATTGTGTGTTTATTATTCCCTACTGCTACTTCCCCAGCAATATTCTGATGTTAGTATTCTTTGCCATTGCTTACTTGTTTTTTTCCAAAATTCAGGTTTGTTCCTGTAATTCCTTTTGTGTCGTGACCACTTATAATGGCATGCTAAATTAAGTACTGAACATTTATTCAATGTCAGTTGCTGAGTTAAATATAAACAGTCGGTGAATGATAAAACATAAATTTGAAGGGTATTTTATACACACACTCACTGACTGTTAGTTGAAGGGGAGATGCTCAGATGTATGGTTTCTTACATCCATTGTCTAAACCTGTTGCTGTAAGCAGTTGATGACATGAGATTATTTGTGAAACTAGATATCTAGCTGGATGATCAGGAAAACTTGCTTTTTCTTTCTCTCGCATACTGTGCGAGAAGAGGTGCAGCTAAGGACTAGGCCATGTTCCTTAAACGTCCTAGGTATTGTATCTTTATTGCTCCTGGTACAGCATGTTCTAATGAACAATTTGTGTTTCCATAGTTGAAATACCTCAAAACAAGACCTTTTTTTGCCAACTTTGACATGAACAAGATGCTTCAGCTGCTTGCCTGTAAGATAGGCCTAATACTTTAGTGTAAGGGAAGTGTCAGTGGAAGGTCCTCCAGAAGATCATCAAGGCAGGGGAAAGCTGATGCAGTGGAAATGAGTCAAAACTTGCCTACAAAGAATTAATTCTGCTTTGTTCACAGTATCAATACACATGACAGTGAACTGGGTGGATACTTACAGACATCTGACAAGCTGTTCTTCTCTGGTTCCATAACTAAGTACTTAGTTCCTTTTGACCCTTTCTACTACTGTATTGAGTTCAATTTTACAATTTTGTCAGTGTAGTTTCAGTAGAGGAAGTTTTAAAGTAAAAGGAAACAGGTTTTTTTGCTCTTCAAGAATCTGTGATCAGAACTGAACTGCTCTTGTTGATGCAAAAAATCGGTTTGATTCCAACTGCTAGAGCTGTAAATTTCCCACGCAGAATAGTTGGTACAGGTAGTTGTGGAACTGGAAGTAAGAAAAACATTGTGGATTTTGTATTAGGCGTTTTTTCCGGCTGCTTGCGTTCCAGAACATTACATTCGGCTGCAAGCTGAGTGGATTTTTTGTACTGGAGAGGGTAAACTTGTATTTCTGAAAAAATGTTAAGATCTTTTCTAACTGTAGACAGCCTCATCAGTTTATTTCTCCAGCTGACCCTGGAATACAGGTCACTGCTGAAACACTGGCCCTTCGTTAGCCACTGACATACCCTTTCAACCACAGTGTTCCTGAAAAGCTCGAATGTGGCATTTTGGGAGCAGCTGTTCCTGTCATTTGCTATCCATGTGCAAAATGGAGGCAGTGAGATTTAAGCAAATGTGGAAACAGCTTTCACTTTCATCTTCATCATGTCAGAACCCCAGCCTGTCCATCTGAGACCAGCAAATGCTAATTTGTTGAGCTGCTCCTGCACCTAATAAAGCTTTCATGCTTGCACAGAAGGTTGATGTCTTGAACGTGCTGCTGGGGTTTGAGTTCAGGAGAGGAAGTGAAGGATTTTAGAGGACAGCATTTGTGCAGTTTATAAACAAGTTTTTTACATGGGTGAAAAGATTAACTTTCTGTTGCTGTAAGATACTACTTTTTTTTAATTAATGAGGCCTTCATGTGGCTGTAGCTAAGGTTAGAGTTGGCACTTCTGTTAAGTCCTGTTGGCCAAGGAGTAAATCCATTGCATAACCAAGAGTTGTACCTATAAGATTTGTGAGCCATCACCTTGGGTGGTGGGGAGCTTGCTCCTTTGTTTAAAAGGCAACTAAATTTTAAGCTTTTGTATTGCTGAAGAGATGAGGTAAAATATCTTTCTGGTCTTGAGCTATTTCTGTGATGAGTTATGGTATGGTTCAAAGAATATCATCTGCAATTTTTCTTAAAGCATTTGCTTTTAAAAGGGAATCCTAAGTGTGTAGCTTCTTGAGCTGTTCAAGTGTTCTGGTTTGGTTTTTTTGAAGCAACTAAGCATGTCCTTTTAGGAGAAACAAATTTGATAGTTAACATTCACAGTGGAATACAGAAGGTAAACAGAACTCTTACTTTCTTTGGATGCCTGCTTGGAAATTGGGGTTAGTAATAGCTAGGTTGTGTCACAAGTTGAATTTGATGGTGATGTTTGTCTTATAAATGAGGAAGGGGGAACTGCTACCCTCAAAAATAATCTACGGTGGGATTTCTCTGTGGTGTTAAGGCTTTTTCCCCACCCCTCCCATAAGTCTTCTGCTCAAGTATATAATGAGAAGTGGCCTTGCCTTGAGGAAAGATTGATTGGTGGGAAGTGGTTACTGCAAAAATAAGAATGCTAAAATAGAATGAATCTTTGGGAAAAGATGCTTACAAGTTATTAATGGAGAGGTGGCTTTATCATGTCATTCTTCCTGTTAATGCATTACATCAGTAATTGTGAATCTTGTTTTTATATCTTTGTCACATTCGTCTAGATTTCTTAAGTTAGATCTGTGGGAGTATACTTTTGTGTCAGAGCACTAGGCTAAAACACAGTGACTTTGCATAATTCACTTTTCTTTCCTTTTAAAACCCGTTTTGATATAGATTTTAGAAAATAATTTTCAGAAATTCTTGGATACGTAAAGAATGCAGATGTGTATCTAGCAGAGCCTGCAAAGATGCAGACACTTCTAGGTACCTGGATACTATTTTGGTATATCTATTGCAGCCTCTTGAATTTGTGCTTTAGCCTGGTAGGAGCAACTGTTCTGTTGGCAGGTCAGGCATGGGTCTATGAAATAGCCTAGTGGGAATGGTTGTCTGATGGGTGCCAGTTGTTAACACAACTTCCGCTTGTTGTTTCTCTTAGTGTTAAAAAAAAGCATAAAAAAGTGACGCATTTAAAGAAGAATCAGTGGTACTGCCAGCATCTGATAACAGTAATAGCTGCCTTGCCAGGTGGAAGATGCCTCTGAATTTTTAGCCCAGTGTCAAGCAGATGCTTGCCTGAAGAGCCAAGCTTGGAACTACTGCCACTCAACAAATCAGAAGTTTTGTTTCTCACACCAGTTGTCTTAGACTTTGTGAATATGGCCTTGGCTGTTTTGTGGATGTGGTTAAATAGAACAGTTAGGATATAAATTAATATGGAAATATCATTGCAAAGGCTGGATCAGTATACTGGGAAAAGACTGTCCAATTGGCAGTCCACCTTGCTCCAATCCACTTTTGAAGTTTTTTTTTTTTAGTGCCCCATCATGTGCCTAGGTATTTGACCTGTGTTGCTGCTGTATCCACATGACTTAGAGCAGCGTAGTTAGCCCAGAGATGCAATGTTTGATAGGACGTATCTGCCTTGTATGGAAGTTGTTTCTAACAGTCTTTGCTTGTTTTTCACTAGGGTCCATTAAATAGTGAGTCTTCCAACCAGAGCTTGTGCAGCGTGGGTTCTCTGAGTGATAAAGAATTGGAGGTAAGCAGGCACAAATCCTCATGGTAATCGGGTTTAAGGTGGACATGATTAAAGTCAAAACATAGAAGGAATTATGTGAGAATGAGTGTCGGTGTTCTTTGTTTGGAGTGTGAAAGGGACTAGTGGAGGTATTTAGTCTGGATCATAACCCTGCAGTCTTTGGACCATGCTGTGAAACAGTCCTCCTTGAAGCTTCCCACTGTATCAGGCAGATTTTACCCAACCCCAAAAACACAGTATTCATAATGCTCAGCTTATGAAATTGTTTTCAGCTGCATTGTGATTTGTTTGCTGGTTTTGGATACAGTTTTGGCCAAATAAAAAGCCAGAGAGCATTAATGGAAAAGTTTGCCTTACCTATCAAGTATGTGAATTTGCAGAGGTCTGTACAAAGCAGAGCGTTTTTATGAATTGCTCTGTGGAAGTGTGGGGAGGTGAAAATTGATGCTTTGTCCCTGTTTAATCTCACTGCCTTAGGATTAACTATTTCAAAACACTTGCTAAAGCAGCAAAATTAATTGTAGAGTTAAATTTTTAATTTAAAATTCCACATTAATAAAGCAAAATCTCAAATTGAAATGCATTTTCTTATGCATTTGAAGAACTTTCCCCACGGTCACCAGGTAAGTTTTGGATCGTATTTCCCCGCTGTTTATATGGCAGTACTGATATGAGGTGTCTGGTGAGAACACCGTATCTTAAACTCCATACAAGGAAGTATAGTTAATAATGGAAAAAAACAAGTATTCATTCTTATTTTATTTGGGTTTTTTTTAATGAACATCTGTGGAGTGATTTAAATTGTCCGAGGTGACATAATCAATCTACCATTCCTTGCTTTTTCAGTCTGTAACAGACAATGATGTGTGCAATTTTTGTTATGTAAGTACTTGAATGGAAAAACAACAACTTAAACTGAATCTCATTAATATGCTTACGGTTCCATGGAGGCTGTAATGGAGCCTGTGGTGTTACAGTAACGCCAATGCTGTTCATGAATTGCTCTTCACTACACAGTGAGGAGGCTATGTCACTGACTTCTACACATACAGGAGCTGGAACAGCAAATCTCCAGATAGTTCTGGAGTTTTCAGTCCCCCTGTTCTCAAAAGTACTTTGCAGACACAATAGTGACCTTTGTCTTAACATCCTGTCCATCCTCTTACCAAAACAATAACATGTCAGTGACTGCCCAGCTGTAACATGGGACTGTAGATGTCCAGCATCCACTGGGGACACAGCCAGGTTTAGATTCTGGCTGTGTCAGCTTTATCCTTTTTATCCTGTTAAAGGAGGTAGATTGATTTCTGTGCTTACTGTGTGCAAGTCTTTTGGCAGCGATCTTTAAACAGGGTACTTTGGACTTTGGTTTCCAAAGAGCATGAAACTTAGGTTTACCACAAAGTTTCTGGCCATTGCTTTCCCTCCCCCAGAGCTGTGTTTTGCACACTGTGGTTTTCTTCCTGCCCCCAGGCTACAGTTTAGTGGTGGCTGCAGTGATTGTAACGCATATAGCTTGGAAATTATTTGGGACCCTTTGGGATAAGAGATGTTTTTTAAAATGACGTTGGTGATGGAAATGACAAGATATCCTTCCTTCCAGCAACCTCAGTAAGCTGCTTCTAGCGCAGTGCTTCCTAATGTTTTCAGCAGGTTTGGCCACATAAGTGACCCTGGTGATGGGGAAAGCACCATGCCGGGGTCTCCTCCACTCTCACATGTCTAGACTTGCTAGCCTTGTACAGACAGAGGGGCATGATGCTTTTGCAGCCTTCAAGATTCCCGCCTGTGCTCTGTATTGTGTCTGTACATAAATATATTGCTGTCCACTGATTAGCTGCCCCTCAGGACTCTGGTTGCTCACGGAAACAGCAGATGCAGCCGACCCTTGACTTTGAGGGATAAGTCCAGATGAATTGCTGCATCAGTGGCAGTTTTCTCTTGACTGCCATCCTGGGGAGCTCTGCTTTATTGTGTGTAAGGTTGCAGTTGTGCACCAGTAGACAGGATAGTTCTTGTAGCCATCTGCAAAGAGCTTTGGGAAGAAGCATTAGCTGCAGGCAAGATGAATCGTCCTGGTAGACTGTCAGTAGCCACTGGACTGCAAATTTGGATGTCTGTACTCAAACCTCTTGTACCAGTACTGTGATCAGTGTGAAATGGTTTATACAGATTTTTATAAGTGAACTTATTCTGCTAACCATGTGAGAGGCAACTGGGCAGTAGAGGCTGGCTTGCTGCAGCTGAAATAAAAGAAAAAATTAACCTCATTCCTAACAGTGTTCTCTCCCTTCTGCAGTGCATATATCAGAAGGTAGTAGCTATTTGAGAGCAGTTGTTTCTTTAAGTACCAGCAGTAGAAACAAATGCAGCAGAGAAGTGAAATGGCCATTGGGAATATGGAGCAGATTACTGTGTTTTGGTATTTTCTTTAAATCTTGGAATAACTGCAGAAATGTTAATTTTGAAGTATTGCTTAACAGACTCCCGAGAAAAAACAGAATGACCAGCGGAATAGAAAAAGGAAAGCAGAAGCATATGAGACCAGTCAAGGTAATTTGTTCTCCTGACCCTGCTGCAGGATTTCTGAACGGTTGGTAATTTGTGCACGTTTTGCACAGTCAGTGTCCTAGGAAACTAATGGCTCTTCTCAAGGGTGTGTCAGGCTTGTTATAAACTACTCCATGATAGTGTGGTTCTCTTCTGGGAGCCTTGTTATCCTCATTGGCAGTAAAATACTCGTCTACAGCTTATTTGCACAAACTATTGCATTTTTATGGGACAGACTGCCCAAAGGCTTAACATGGCTTCTCTGAAGTGGTGTTTTGGTCCCGTGTCACTATATATACAGCAGCCAGACTTCAAAATACAGGCTGTACTCTCTTCCTGCTTTTTGAGACATATGCCTGCCTTGTTAGAGTAAGTTCTCACCGTAACAAATAGAGAACAAACTGTGCTGAAGTATAAAGTAGGCAGTGCTGTCTCAGAGTACTAAGAAAAACACAGTGTTTTCAAGTCCAAGTTCAGATTTTCTAGCAAATGGGCATAGGGGCAGATCTCTATTTCCTTTGTTCTTCAACAAGAAAGTGACAAGGATTGTGTTGACGGAACTGCTTTGATAATATTATAATAAGAGAAAAGGGCTAAATTTTAATGAGCTGATACTAAGCCACCACTAATTATCTCTCTAACTCCTATAGGAGTGCTTGTGAGAGATCTGATATGCAGTAATTTACCTGAAGGTGGAGGAGTAAAAGTATTCTTTGCTCTGTCCTTATCTTGAAGGAAATTTGGAGAACCTATGCAACATTTGATGATGTTTAGTGTTTTCTAAGTACTTTGGCAAGGGCAAATGCTGTTTGATTGGATTTGACAGGTTTGGAATTGAGAGTTAATTGAATTATCAGCTGTAAACCCTCCCAACAACAGCACAAGAGCTATAACCCTGGGGCAGGCTTTTGTTGTGATAGGTGTTGCACCTTTCTACAGGTAAAGGAGTGTCAAAATACAGGAGTAGTTTTTTAGAATGGCATCATAACTTCTGTTCTTAAAAATATCAACTCTTATTTTCATCCTTTGTTTTCCTTTTCAGGAAAAGGCACTCCTAGAGGACATAAAATTAGTGATTATTTTGAGGTAAGCATCTTTACATTGTCTGAGAAATCTGCTTGAATTCACATCATGCAAAATCATGGAAGTCTGTAATGTGATTTCTGTTACTGATCCATCATTGGAGTCATTGATTGACGATGTTAACCTGATATGCTTGCATCTGATTAGCTAGAGGATATGAGATTTTTGGAAGTTGCTTTTTAAATTAGCATTTCTTTGACCAGTTGATAAGCAATTTTTTAAAAGAGCAGCCACGTAAGTATAAGTTCGAGGTTGATTTCCATTGGAACTTGGATCTCAGGTGAGGATATCTCTGAGTGTACAAACCTATTTCAATACAGGTCCAGTGCTGCAAAAGAACCTACCTGCAAAGCCCTGCTGATTTCAGTAGGAAGTTGTTTACGGGGTTGCCTCGTTTGAAAAGCTTGCTGTGGGAGGCTGGCAGCCCACAGGAGGCAGAGACCCCTCCCCAAAACAATGATGAACATTCTAATAATCAATATTCTTTTTATTGCATCGTTTCTGAAGTTTTTCTAGGTCTGCACAATGCAGAGCTCTAGCTTTTCTCTTAAGTTCTTTATTTTACTGAGTAACTTGTAGTCAGAAATTAAGTGCTAGCACTTATTTCTTTGCTGGCTAAAGTTTTTTAGGTGCAGGAACATACAAATTTCTGTACCAACTAGACTAGTTGACCAGCTGCTTACATATCCTGTATTTAACAGTGACTGGCACAGATGCTTCAGTGGAGGTGTGCATTTCTTACCATTTCTGTGGTGCACAATTAGAGATGTCTTCTCACAGGGAATTGGCCTCATAATTCTATACAGTAAATAATTGATCTATATTCAGGTGTGCAGGTTTATATCTTTTTTTTGTGTTAAAAAGAAAAATTTACTTAGTGCACATGTGAATGTTTGTCTGAAGTACTTTTGCTGTTGTTATTGAAAACAGGGCATGAAATTTTAACGTTTTCCTCTTGGCTTGTCTTCAGTTTGTTTAAATAAGTCCCTAGAAACTATAAGGCTTCATTTTAAGATTAATGTGTTTCTTCTGTCTCTGTTAAATTTGCTTACATACAATATCTCTGTGGAATTACTGATGATCAAATCTGTTACTTTGGGCAGTTTGCTGGGGGAAGTGGCCCAGGAACCAGTCCCGGTAGAAGTGTGCCGCCTGTTGCCAGATCATCACCACAGCATTCCTTGTCCAACCCCTTGCCGGTAAGCATTCTCCCTGGGGACAGAGCTGGTGGCATGGCATTGATTAGGTTGGTGGCCGTAATAAAAGGTTCCAAACAGGAAGGAAGGGTCTCTTGGTGAGTGATTTGGCTTATTGTCTATTCAGTTCTTTTTTTTTTTTTTTAAATCTGAAACTGGGTTCTGGCAGCAATGCCAGATATCTAGGGCGCTTTAACAGTGGCTAGTCTAGTTGTAATGGATATGAATATCTGAGCTTAAAGCGTGCAAGATCAATGTTTTTAGCCTGCCATGTGGTTACAGATAGATTGCTGTCCTTAATAAAAGGTGGAACTGATATATTATCTTGTATTCCATTGTAGCTCGTGAACTTCTTTGTCAGGTTGGGAGTATGTTGTATGTTTGTATAGCACTAGTACAATGACATTCCCATCTTGACTGGATGCTTTGGGTATACTGAAAGACGTGCATACCATAATGATATTGGGGTGGTCTTTTACTTCTGTTTATGTGCATGTGACTTGTGAGGAGCATTAGCAAAAGCTTGCAAAGCAATGCGTGTACATGCACATCTGTTCTCATTTTTTGTTAGATAATTCCATTTTGCTGTCACAGCATTTCTGCAAGATCTGAATATAGAGAAATAACCAGTATTTTTAAGCCATTTTAGCACAGAGCAACTAAAGAAATTTCTTTCTTTCAACTAGCAAAGCAATATTCAGAGGCTGTGGTGTCTGATCTCTAGTTTTAAACATTGCCTGGGTCCCTCTTTAAAAATTTTCTGCATTTGTTAGGTGTCACAAAAGTGTGGAGCATTATGGGATAGGTTAGTATTCCAAAAACCAAATGCAAAGTCTTTACTGATTACATTATTCTGCAGAGACCTTTGCACAGTTCATGAATGTGTACTGAACTAAATCCCAGCACTGAGTGTTCTGCTCAGAATTTAATATATGTTACTAGATTTTTGAAGCTTTTAATGCTGCTTTAAGGGAGAACGTCAGATTGGCTTCGAGATATTTTTGATGTTTACAAAAATTAAAATATGTCTGCTTAATTGAAGAGCCCTTTCTCCTATCATGTTAATTCACTGGTACACCTTTTTAAAGAGAAGTTAATGAAAAAAATACCATCTCTGAATGTTGCAGATGTGTGAGGTATTAGGGGACAGTTCTTTATTCCAGCAGATAAGGTACCCTGCAGATGTTTATAATGGGACAAGTTGATTCTTCCTTTGGTTTTCTTCTTCTACACTTATATGTATTGAGTAGGTAAAAGTTTGACCAGAGTATTTGTCATGTGGTGAAGACTGGTGTTACGGTTAGTTTCAGCTAGGCCAGTTTGTCTCTCTCCTTACACGGGTGCTCTTTATGTTTCTTATCTTCTGTGCTTTACTCTTGCAGCTAAACCTATAATATTTGCTTATTCATAACAAGCTATTATGTGCATTTGGAAGATCAGTCCTCCTCTTACAAACTGGATATCAATGGTTTGAGCTAAGCCCTCAAAAAATGGGGGGGATGAGTGAAAATTGGAGAAGATTGAGTATCTTACCCATTACAGATGTCAGTATGATCTAGGAGGAGAGCAGAGTGTTAAAATGTCTTTCACAAGGAGACAAACCTCCTCCAAACCTGTGAGTTAATCTATATTGTACTGGAAATTTTCTGCAGTCAGAACTTGCGAAGGAATTGTAATGACTTTGGGATGTTACTTCTTGTCTTCATATCTCTTCACTGCTTTGAATTGCCTTGCTTCTCCTTTGAACAGAAGAATGATCTGGAGGTCTTCGGACTCTTGCAAGGTCACTCTCATATACAAGCATTCTTTTGGGGAAGAAAGCGCACTATTGACATTTGTAATGTTAGCCTGAAAATATGCTTCAGGTTGCAATTTAGGTTTTTAAGAAAAACCAAAGCCTGACCTGACTGTTTACTTTCTGTGTGGCATATGCCTGGCCCAGAGTTACAGCTTGGAAGGACTTAGATGATGATTACCCAGACTGCCAAGTTTTAGCAGTGATGGGCTGGCTTTCAAAGCAAGGGCAATGAGATTCTGAGTGCTGTAATATGTGTAGCTCAGATGATTCTTGTTCTTATAGAACCCAGTTCCTGTATCACAGTTGGAATATGAGTCTCCTGCAGGAGAAAGGAGCTGGCCTTTAAGAGATGCAATGCATCTCGAAAAGATTTTGGAAACGTATTAGAACTTTGCTTATCTTGCAGGAGATTGGTCCCAGCTACGACAGAAATGAGCTTACCATGACGTCTGGGTCCTAGACTTGGTTAGGTTGCTGATGTTTATCAATTCTGAGTCAGTTTGCTTCACCAGAATAACAAATGTATTGTGACATTGGTGGTGGTTTTAAAATGAGTCCTTAAAAAACATCAAGTAGTATAATTTTGAATGCATTGACCACAAATGTACTGCAGTAAGATTTTTTGTATCTATAACCTGTTTTGCCCCACTGGCTCTAAAACACGAGCATTTGCAAAGGAAGGGCATGTGTTAAGTGACAAGGAATTCTGTCCTGTGTGTTCATTTGTTCTTTTTTCTTTTTTAATTGTTAACTTCATCTACTTTTTGATGTCTGCCATTGGAAGAATCACTCCAGGAGTCCTGTTTGAGTTATCAGATCCTTGCCATGCTGCCTGCCCATTCCTGAGCTGCTGCGTCACTGACAACAGTTTTGGCAGAGTCAGAGAATCGCTTTTTTTTTAAAAAAAAAAAAAAAAAGTTCATTGTATTTTTTTTGAATGTGTTACAGCGGCGAGTGGAGCAGCCGCTGTATGGGGTAGACGGCAGCACAGCAAAGGAACCGCAGGAGGAACACTCTGCTCTGCCAACGCTGATGTCGGTGATGCTGGCGAAACAGCGGCTAGAGAATGAGCAGCTGGCACAGAGGGGAGGTGGCCTCTGTTTTACTTTTGTCTCGGTGAGCAGCTCTGAAAAGATTTGAATCCCAAGGGATGTTTCTAGTTAAGGGATGGGGAACTTGAAGCTTTTCTGCTCAAAGACAGTGGTTCAAGTGCAGCCTGGTTTATTGATGACCAAGTCTACCATCTTCTGGTAAGTTCATCTTCCTTGTGAAGAGTTCTAGGTCCCAGGCTTTACTTGTTTAATAAAACGATAAAGATACAAAATCTTACGTAGATCAAAATAATGGCATCTGAGAGGCTAATCTGATAGATGCAAAAAAGCAAAAGAATGAATTACAGTCTTGCTGTGAGAAGTGTTTGTTTTGGCATCGCGTAATCTCACCTGACATGGATTATATTAGGCTTTTAAAAGCTTTGTCTTTTAGCAGGTTGGGCCAGACTTCTTGAAAGAAACTGACTGTCTTGTTTTAATGAACTAAATCTCTAGAGCATTCTTAAACCTTAATGTGAAAGTATGGTGCCCAGGCCAGTCTGCACCTCCCATGTAAAGATAAGCGTATCTGCATGGGCAGTAGTGATCATGCTGAGGAGCATATAACAATACACTAACTTTCTTTTGCAGGCCCAGCAAGGCAGCCCATCTTCTACCGGATCAGGGAACACTGAGCATTCCTGCACTTCCCAAAAACAGATTTCCATCCAGCACAAACAGTCACAGGTATAGCTCACTAGATGATACGTCTCTTGGATATGAGATTGAAGCTTGATGCAGCTCGTCTTCCACGCCAAAGGATGCCGCTTGTAGTAGACATAATGTTTCCAGTAAAAAGAGCCAGTAGTCTGAACTCAGTCTGTAACTACAGATTAAAGTGAATCACTCTGAACTTTGTTTCTTATCCTGTAAAGGATGCTTTTCAGTTCTTGCTACTGGAGTTTGCCAGATCTGTTACTGGGCTTTTCTGTGTCAATACTGTGGGCAGTTCTTCAGCTGTGTGCAAATGTGCTCAGGAGACGAACACCTTAGCTCTGTCTGTTTAGGTTCTGTTGTATCCTGAATATTCTTCCTCTCTTTGTAAGTGAAGATGTGAAGGAAACCTGAGGATAGTTATGAATGCCTCTCTTCAAGCGCTGGGTTATGGATGCGCCCACACTGCTTACTGTCAATTATCCACAGTCTAGCTGGAAGTTCTTTGTCCTCTGCAGAGTACACCCATGGCATAATTTGTCCTGTCAAGGTGGAATGTGATGTGTTCTCAGCAACTTCACTGACCTGGAGTCAAGAAAAGGAGGAGCTCTTTTGACTGTGCTGCTGTCTTTTTGGTGCCTTTTAAATTGTTAAGATTCTTCTTGTGGCTTTATGGCAAGATTTACTTTTAGCTGTGTCATCTTCCTCTGTTGCTTATAAGGATGTTCAGCTTTATCTGCTAAGCACCTTGCTTATTTCTTCTCCAAGCCTACTTTTAATCTTCTTTTGATTTTCATCTCAGATTTCTCTTTGACCCTTCCCTTGAGTGATATTTAAACAGTCAGGTTTGTGTCAATCATTTTCTCACATCATCTCTGACACAGACTGATTTTATTGCCAGGGGAAGTTCATTCTCCATTTCCCCAGCAGGTGGTACAAGTCCTTTGCGCATGAAGAACAGCAATTCTGACTCTGGGGATGCTTAACTAGGTTAAGTCTCTGAGCTCTGTTGTGTCACTGGGGTCACATTTTGTTGTCTGTATTGTTAAAGTGCTGGTCTGTGAAGATCCTTGTTTCTTGCCAATGCATGGAGAAGTCTTGTGCAAGAATGATGCCATACTTGAGAACCTGCCAGAGATAACTTTCAGATTTCAATCTTTGCTGTCCCAACACCAATGCTTAAAATAGTGGTCCCTCCTGGGGTGAGCAGGATGTTCTTCTTCTCTCCTCTGCTTAACATGCCCACAGGGTCCATCTTCCTTGAAAAGGGTGATATGTTGTCCGAGTGTGCTCTCTGCCAGTGCTCAGCTTCGTGGTATTCTCCAGAGGTCTAGATGTAGCGTATGCTCAAGGAAAGGAATCCAGGAAGATGCTTGACTGCGTGATGAGTACATGTATACATTTTTGTTTTTCCCTTCCAAACCTGTTTGGAGTTGATGGGGTTAAAAAAAAAAAATCTCTTCAGTGATTTCCAGTTTAAATCACTTCTGGCAATGCTAAAAGCAAGTCAGCATGAGCAAGATTTTCTTAGTGTTTTCAGTCAGTGCTAGGGCCCTCCAAGTACTCTGAGGCAAGGTGAATTGTGATGAAGTCACATGTAAGAGCATATATCCTGAAGCATGACTTCATCTGACACAGTGCAAGTATGTCTGTGCGTTTGGCAAAGTGAGGTGACAGTCACTAGAGAAACTTTCTGCTGCTTGAGTGAGTGCAGCCTAGGATTTCAATAGACAGCTTTCTCGTTGCCTTCAGTGACAAAAGCTTTTGTCACATGTGCTTCCTGCAGGCTGTCAGGAAGCATAAACCAAGTTAAGGCAGAAGTGAGGTGACCTGCCCAGGCCTCATCTTTTTTTGGGGGATTTAGGCTCATCTTGATATGCAATGCTGGCAGGTGTTCTTTTTGATCTTTCCCATACTGGGCATATGCAGAGAAGCAACAGTCCACCAAATTTGTCTCTTTATGGTGTTAGCTTCCAGGCAAGCCTGAAATTTGGAGAACAGATATATAACAACTCCACGGGTAAGTCTCTGCTAACTCTTGTCAGAGCCAGGATAGTTGCTTGCTAGCCATAAATGTGCAATCTCTTTATGCAGTTGTGGAGTGAGATTCCCTTGTGTTGACTTGGGGTTTTTTTAGATGTTGTGTTCATGTTCGTACTGACTTTTTCCCCTTTTCTTCCCATCCATTCATGAGAGTGCTGAGTTTGAAATATTCCTACTGCTAGAGAATATAGTGTATGTCTTTTGTCTTCTGTTCCTTGGTATAACTGTCACTTCATTGGTGAAGGTATTTGAGATGTGCTGGACCCTATAAAATTTTCCAAATAGGTTTCACTTGAACTGTAAAACACCTGTCCCTAGTGGGCTCTAATACATCAGTTTGTCAGAAACAAAGACTTGTGCCTAATATTCCTGCT